ATTCTAGAGAACTCTCTTTTTAATTGAAAATATGATATTAACAAGAAAATGCTACTCTAATGAGGATGACAAAGGAAACATAATACTATGCTAGATTGATTTGATTATCTATGATCGTAAATTTTCTTCGGTTACATTTAAAATCTTAACTTTTTGTCCTTTGTATTAGCAACACTATTCTTTGTACTCTAATCTAAAAATTTTGTTGCATTTCATAACCATGAAGGACACTGACGAAATCATTGTAATAATGATTACACAACGCGTCTGCAATGGAGCTGTGCATTCTATCATTTGAATTCGAAGTAAACAACTCTCTGCTACTAATCTTCGTTGAATTGACGAATGCTGAAAAGAAAAAGTTAAGACATCATAGATTCGATTTGTTTAGGCAATTCAAATCTCGTTTTGTGACGCTAAAGAACTTTATTTGTTTTGTCTCTCTGTCACGGGCTTTGAAGCCGAATCAGAAGGAGGGGTATTGACTTTTCTCGCTATCAGATTCGTCAGTCATTACCGATCATGTTTCACTAAATTACTGTAGACAATTGGAATAATTTGTTCTGATAGTTGCTCAAAAAGAAGTTTCACTGGGAATAGCAAGAGGTACAATATGAAGCAATCGACAAATAAGACAATGGGGTTTTAAAGGATAATATTTGAAAATAAGAATAAGGATACCACATGTCAAAAGCTGCTTGTTGTGTTTACTTTTTGAAATGATTGATTTATTTCTGCACTGTTCAAAACACACTAACATTTGGTCGTCCAACAGTATCTAACGCTTTTCCATTTGTTAATACGGATTCTGTGTGCTTCTCTCGTTGGCTATTCATGCTACCAGTAGCTGTCCATGTTCCCGCTGATGGATCATACAATTCGACGCTACTTAGCAAATCATATCGATGAGTGTGTCCTCCAGTAACTAACACTTTTCCGTTTGTTAATACGGATGCTGTGTGCTCCACTCGTTGGCTATTCATGCTACCAGCAGTTGTCCATGTTCCTGTTGATGGATCATAGAATTCAGCACTACTTAGCAAATCATGTTGATGAGTACGTCCTCCAGTAACTAACACATTTCCATTTTTTAATACAGATGCTGTGCGTTGCGCTCGTGCGGTATTCATGCTACTAGTAGTTGTCCAAGTTCATGTTGATGGATCATACAATTCAGCACTGCTGAAAATAAACTGACTATAACCACCAGTAACTAATACTTTTTCATTTGTTAATAAGGCCGCTGTGTGCTCTTTTCGTGAATAACTCATACTGTCAACATTGGTCGATCCTACAGGAAAAAGTTTGCATGTGTTTATTCTGACAAGAATATGTTTTATTGAACCTGCATGATGGTCTAATGATGGACGGAAAATTTTGGATTTTATAATGATGAAAATTCTTTTTTCCAATAAAACAAAGTTTTTTCTGAATTTCTGGTGACCTCAAAAAACTTTGAATCGATTATAAGAAGTCTCTTATGATTCGGTGTGACCATGGATTCTGCTGTATTTCAGATAAAGAATCATATGTGTGAGTAACAGATAAGCTAGCATCGTATTTTCTAATTATCATCAACTTATAGAATTAATGTTCTCGCGATTATATGTTATCGGAAATTTGATCGGAGAAACTTTCAGGTTGGATCCAAAGTCATTTTAAAAGGAGAAGAAGTTCAACCTGGGTCTAACTTTCTATTGTA